TCCCATACAGAGCACTGGCCCAATTTATGGGGTGACCTTCTACTGAACTCACAGTAACGGCATTTACATAAAAGGTGGCAGCGCTGGGGTACATTTCGTTACACCCAGACAATTGCTCAGCATTATACAACATACCAACATTGTTATAAACCGGACTTTCAGGAGGATACACTTTCTGCTGTTCTTCCCTTGCTTTTTTATGTGGAGCTGAAGTCAGACCGTGTCCTGTTGCATCTGGTGAGCTTTCTCCTCAACAGCCAGCAGCTCCAGACGCCCCTTACGAGCTCTCTCTTCTCTCTCATCAGCCTCCCTCTTTCTTTGATCCGCTTCTCTTTCTAATTCTGCTATGTTTTGCTTTTCCAGCCATCGAAGATCTGTGAGCTTCTGTTCATGCTCAAGTTGCAGTTTATTTGCTGCCATTTGCATTCGAACTTTTTCTGCAGCTTCTGTAGCCTCAGGTAAGGGCTGTGCTCCTGCCTCCGGATCACTGGCCATTAACAGATCTCTCAGTTCTTCATTTGTAGCTTTCTCTCTAAAGGTTATCCCCTTTTCTGAACACAAACCTTCCAGGGCTTTTTTATCAAGGCCTCATATGCTCTTTGCTCACCCATTGCAACTGCTCTTTAACCAACAAAACTCTCAGTCCCAACATTCAGATGTGGATAGCGCGGGGTTCTGACCCAGAGCTTCATTGATGTGGTTCTGTAGATCCTGCTGATACGGCATTGTGACGGCGCTGCCCGTGGGACCCAGCTGAGGTCACTCGATCAGGGTGAACTGCAAACAGAACGGGGCAGAGAAACCCGAAACGCTGGTGGATCTTCCAATACTTAGATTTACCAACCAGCACAAAACAGCTCCTGTATTACCTCACTGGTTACTCAGAAGTCCAAACAACGCAGTCCCCCTAAAGTGCCCAGCCTCAGGCCTCCGTCCAGACACACCTGTCAGATATGATGATGATTACGGAAAATCTGATCTCATCATATAAAAGAAAAGGTTCTTCCAATCCCAAAGGATATAACTGGACACACCCAGGTCCAATTATAACTTAGATCTTACCCAAAATACACGCTATAGTCAATTCTTATTAACTAAGCTAAAATTTATTAAAAAAGAAAAGAGAGAGAGTGCTGGTTCAAAGATCAATCTACAAACAGACTTGAATTCAATTCTTGAGGTTCAGATGCGTAGCAGAGATGAGCTTGTAGTTGCCAAAAGTCCTTTTAGAAATAGTCCATAGGTTATAGTCCAATGTCCATATTCAGGGTGACTCCAGTCAGTGACTGGGGATCTCAATCCTTATGGCTGAAGCTTTCCCCCTCTTGAAACCCAAAGCAGATCTGAGATGAAGCAGGATCGTGTCCCAGGGTTCTTATACATTTCCAGCAGCCTTTTGGCCTGAGAAAATAATAGGCTTAACTCTCCTTCTCCCAAACTTCCTGGCAATTAGCACAGGGTAATTTATCCATTAAACAGTTCAGATACAGGTTACCACAACCTTCACAGAGACATAGAGACAATAATACTATTTCCCTCAAGTGTCTTCCTAAATGTTAATTTTCCTTTTTTGATCTTTGAATCAAAGCTATAGCAATAGACAAGACTTGTTTACTTACATCACAAGCCCTGAGCAAACACCTACCCTTCTACCTCTAACAATACAGGCTGCATTTCAAAGCTCTATTCATTTACAGATCTTCCTAACAAGTCTCTAAACTCCGGCCATGGGTCAGGTCAGTTTAATTAACTCTTTCTGGCCCTGTCATCTTTCAATGAGATATTATATTACAGTTATAACATCACCCCCCGTCTCCTGGAGACACCGCCCTGCTCCCAGTCTCAGCTCTGGGGTGGGGCAGGGCACGGACAGGGCTAAGGGGAGCACGAGGTAAAAACTTTGGGGACAGTTTCACTGGCTTTCAGCCCCCCACTATAAGGTGTCCCTGCCCCACAGACAGCCCTGGCGCAGCCCGGAGCATCTCCGCAGTACTCACAGCATCAGGGGTGTCTCTCTGGCGCAGAGCTGGTACCGGAGCTTCGCACGAACTGGCCTTCAGCGAGCTCACGTGGGATGCCAATAACCCGGGGGAGGTTCCATTGTTCTTTGCATTTGCTGAGTGCCCATCCCCCGTATCTGGGCAAGAGGGACGGGGCGGGAAGGGCTCTGACTCCAGTTTGCTCACATCCCCCACCCCCACCTCAGTTCCACCTGCAACCGACACCATTCGTGGTGTGTGTGACCCCCGCAGCGCCTGGACGCCACATTGTCCTGCACACACGCAGCCAGACAGGCTCTGCCCCCAGCAGCTCCCAGTCCACAGAGAAGCCCCAGGCAAAGGGCTGAGGGGAAACACGCCCAGGGAGGGGAAGGGACTGAGCCGACATCCCGCAGCAGGTCAGGGGCAGAGCTGGGGTAGCCCCGGTCTCCTGCATGCTAGCCCACTGCCCCAGCCACTAGCCCACACAGCCTGGCTTCTGGCTGTTAGCTGCTGCGTGAAGTGGCCGAGGCCTGACCCCCAGGGAATGTCCC